CTTAAATTTTCTGATGATATTAAGATCTTGGGTGTTGCTCGCTGTGAAGAGGATGCTCCTGATTTACAAAAGGATTTAGATCATTTGGTGAGTTGGGCAAATAAAAGGCAGATGGGTTTTAATTATAATAAATGCAAGATAATGCATGTAAGTTTTCATAATTTGAAGTATAAGTATCATGAAAGAAAGGGATCTTGGTGTAATGGTTGATCAGTCTTAAAAGCCATCCAAGCAGTGTGTTGTTGCTAGTGTTAGGGCAAATAGGATTTTAGGTTGTATCTATAGAAATACTGAATACAAGTCTAAAGATGTTATAATTTTATTGTATGGGTCACATTTTGAGTATTGTGTTCAACTTGGGCTCCCTACCTTAGGAAAGACGTTGAATTGTTGGAAAGGGTTCAGAGAAGGGTTACTAGAATGGTGCCTGTGATGGAGGGGTTGTCATACGACAAGAGGTTGAAATCTCTCAAATTGTTTTCTTTTGGAAAAAGAAGAATTAGGAGGGGATCTGATTGAGGTGTTTAAGGTTGTAAAGGGAATTGATAGTGTTCATGCATCATCTTCTTTCATATTTAACAGTGAGAATAGTAGGACTAGGGGATACAAATATAAATTTTGGCAAGGTAGGAGTCATTTTGAGCTAAGACAGTTTCATTTCTCTAACAGGGTGGTTGGCCTTTGGATGTTGTGGAGGCAGTAAATTTAAACGAGTTTAAGAGAAAGCTTGATAACTATATGAATGATAGGGGCTGGTTTTAAGATTTTGTTTTAAATTTATTTATTTAATAGTTTAATTTAGTTTAGACGATGAAACAGCCTAGATGGACCAATAGGTCCCTTGTTGTCTCTAAACATTATGTTGTGTTAATTTAATTTACACTAAGGTCTATTGCCAACTTTGTGCTTAGTGTCTTTAATATTCCCAAAATTTTGATCAGTCTGTTTATTTGTAAATAGAGTTTAAACTTTTAATGATAATGATGAATTATATTAGCTTTGGCATAAGAATGTAAAGCAAGAAAATTTTCATTTTCCAGGAGCACACACAATGATCTTTATACAATTTATCAAGTGTCACAAAAATTGTCACCAGTAGCTCAGCAGTATGTGTGCAGATATATAATGCTGAAAGTCAGGTTTCAATGCCCGTGTTGGACACAGCACAGAATGTCAAAACTGCATACATACAAAAGTCACAACACTGCATTCTTTACTTAGTAACCTTGACCACTTTACTCAAGCAATAAATGTTTAGCTTTCCTTTAGATACATCAATTACATTTGTGTATAAGTTAATAAATAATTTGTTGAGAAAGCTAGTACATGTTAAACCCAACTAAACATCTAATAGTATTGTAGCAAGCAACTAATAATTCCATTTATACTACTAATTTCAATAAAGTTTAGATCTACTATTACAGAAGAGGTCTAGTGAGTGTGTTGAAACTTGTTTACATAAAATCCTGTATATATACTGACTAGTCTCTTCACTAGAACCCTGTTCACACAGACACATATTTGTAGAACACTGTTGATTGACTGATCATATAATTGCTTGAGTTTTATGGATGTAAATATTTTTATATACTGATCTTCAGTATATCCTGTATATATACTGACTAGTCTCTTCACTAGAACCCTGTTCACACAGACACATATTTGTCTTACCAACGACTACTGATCTTCAGCGGTGTTTACTTTAGTGATAATTGAATAGCATTTTACATCATAGGGACTTTATTTTGCTCTTCATGTTTCCTTAGTGTTTTTGAATGTGAATTTTGTTATAGCTATATTCACTGTTGTATATACATTACTTGACTTGTAATTGTAGTATTTGTAATATTACGTTAGTTTCTGTTATTATGGTTGTTGAAACTTCAAATTTTATTGTTATATAATTAACTCTAAGTTATTGAGGTCTGTAAAAATATGTAAAAGAAGGTGACTGGAAATTTTTTAAGTAAAGGATTAATATTTTGTTTGGACAGAATATAGTTTGTCTTCATCGGACAACCCCATAATGAAATTGGTCAATTCAAGCTGTTTGTAATCCATAAATTATTATACTGTCTAGTGGGGCATTAGTATTTTTACTGCTGGTAGATTTCTAGAAGCTTGACGTGAGATTTCCTAAAAATAATAAAATTGTTTTAAAGAATTTCCCGATAGTTATAAATATTAAGCATCTTTTTATACTTTGTCAAACCTTTCTCTGGTATCTTGTGGTGTTAAGTAATGAAATTGGTTTTATTTTTCTTTCATTGTAAATTTATTGACAAATAAATTTTAATAATAATAATATTTTTAGCTAGAGCTCAAAATTTTAAAAACATTTTTTTTCCAGCTTCAGTAAAATATTCCAAAGTTTTTTTGTTTTTTTTTATATATCTAAGTTAAGCTTTCTAGATCTTTCAAGCAGTAGAAGAAAATATTACTAGCTTCAAAGGGTTTAACTGAAATATTTTCAGATAGTTCTCCACCCTACCCCCAAGTGCATTAGATTTAAATTGTAAAACCATCTCATTGAAATGCCTAAAATATTTCCAGTTACAAAAAAAGATATGTTTTAAAACATATTCAGATTAAAAGTTATCATTATTATTATTATTTCATCCTCAATATTCCAATAACAAACCTCAAAATTCTGTTGTTTCACTTTTACAGAGTTAGATTCCGATCTTGGAGACTGCGGTGAAAGAATGAAAGAAGTTGTTGTGAATGTTGTACAGGAATATGAATGTGTAATTTGTGGCCAGATGGCGCCCTCAACTGAAGAACGGCCAATTGGAATGGTCGTACTTTTGCAGGCAACAAGCGGCAAGTGGATTTTTTGTTGTGTTTAGAGCCTTAAAATTTTGAAACTATTTCAGACAGCAAGAAAATGGTTTTATTTTTAATAAAGTGGTGGTAACATTTTCTAATAAATGAAAATTTGTAAGGCAGTGAATGATGCATGATTATATAAATAATAATGTCATTGAATAATTCTCTCGTGTCATAATTAAACTTTTTATAGTCTAGTTAATAATAACTTAATAATGCATAGAGGTACTTTAACATATACATCATTTACGTTTATTACTTTGTGTTGTTGTTTTATTCACTCAATATTTAATATACTTGGTTTGCAAGAATTAAATCACATTGCCATGTATGTAGATCATTTCTAAAAACTCAAATTCTTGATCAACCACTTAGTTCAGACTCTCGTAAAATAGATATAAGGACCAACTGTGACCCAACGTGCAGATTGCGAGACTGTGGATCCGAGGAGCCGTATATGCAGTATAACACTGACTGTCAAATTCTACTATTCAATTAGAGTAGATAGTGATATTAACTAGCTGTCTTCTCTCTTGTCTATTAGTTCAAAATTAAGAGCAACTAGTCTTGTGCAACTGTCTAAAACAAATTAACTAAAATATGCTTAAAATGTATACAGATTTGTGTACTTAATTTTCTAAAGGCTCTACATAGGTGTTAAAAAGTATCAAATAAATTTCAGTTCTGGGACATAGTCGTCAGGATGACCCAAGGTGTCACAGACTACCTTGTTCTGATGAAGATCGTTTGATGTTAGGAAGAGATCAGACAAGAGCTGCATACATGGGACAGAGGATAGACCAGCTAGATCACCATTTTGATAATGTAAGTTTGGATTTAACTAACTTTGAGATATTGGTGTTGATAGTTCCAGGGTAAAACCAGTGTCCTTGATAATAGTACCAGAATTCTAAGGTAGAACAAGTGCCCTTAGTATCAGTACCAAAATCCCAGGATAGAAATAGTGCCCTTAGTGGTAGTTCTAGGGTGGAACCAGTGCCCTTAGTATCAGTACCAAAATTCTAGGATAGAAATAGTGCCCTTAGTGGTAGTACCAGGGTTCTAGGGTGGAACCAGTGCCCTTAGTGGTAGTACCAGGGTTCTAGGGTGGAACCAGTGCCCTTAGTGACAGTTACAGGATTGGAGGGTAGAACCAGTATCCTTATTAACAGTACCAGGATTCCAGGCTATAACCAATGATCTTAGTGGTACCATGCTCCTAGGGTGAACCAATGCCCTTAGTGATAGTGCCAGGATTACAGGGTAGAACCATTATTCCTAGTGTCAGTACCAGGATTCTAGTCTAGAACTAATGCCCTTTGTGATGGTACCAGTATTCCAAGTATAACCAATGTCTTTAGTGTCAGTACCAGGATTCTAGTCTAGAACTAATGCCCTTTGTGATGGTACCAGTATTCCAGGTATAACCAATGTCTTTAGTGACAGTACCAGGATTCCAGGTTCAACCAATATTCTTTGTAATATTACCAGCATTGTTATTTTAAGCATTTATCTCATCAGGTTAGAATAGAATTGTTTGTTAAAAAGAAACATAAATACTACTTCAAATATTTTGATACATCAACAAGATGTTAGGAAGTGTACACACTTGGTCTTGGTGTATAAATGAAGGGAAAAAAATTTTTGTAATTTTCTGATCTAATCTTATAATCAAAATTATATTCCTGTTTTCATAAACTGTTATCAAAGATAGTAGTGGCATCGATTCTAACTATGGATTTGGAGAATATTGTAACTTCTTGTGGGTTGAGAGTTGTAACTATTTAATTAAAGAAAGAATAGCAAATAGAATAGGGTTACAACTAATTAGTTAAAGAAAGAATAGCAAATAAAATAGGGTTACAACTAATTAGTTAAAGAAAGAATAGCAAATAAAATAGGGTTACAACTAATTAGTTAAAGAAAGAATAGCAAATAAAATAGGGTTACAACTAATTAGTTAAAGAAAGAATAGCAAATAAAATAGGGTTACAACTATTTAATTAGAGAAAGAATAGCAAATAAAATAGGGTTACAACTAATTAGTTAAAGAAAGAATAGCAAATACAAATAATGGTTGCCTATGTTATAAAAACAAAGACTGATCAATGACAATTTAAAAAATTCTTAAATAGAATTAAAAATGGCTTATTTATTTTGTTTGTTTTCCCAAATTATCAAAGTTGAAAATTTTACTGTAATTAGTTTTGTTCATCTGATAATTAGATCAAAAGATGATGAAAGTATTAGTGGATGAAGAATGTTTACTGTTACTTTTGTTTGTGTTTCCACAGAAATCGTGGCAGGCTTCAGTGAACATTGGTTGGCAAGGTGGAGTTCATGTCCAGTCTTGTGGACATTACTTGCATACTGTCTGTCATCAGTCCTACACTGAATCACTCAGGGTAACTTTGATTTCTCTATGGTATAAGAATCTTAATTTTTTTAGACATCTTTCATCTAATGACCTTTTCAAGTTTGTGTCATTTATTAATTATTTATTGCAACAGTTAGCTTAGGTAGTGATATATTAATTTTTCAACTATTTACTGTAATGGTCTAGTGTATGTGACACAATGATTTGTAAACATAAATACTGTGATGGTTCAAGTTTTGAAGGTATCGGTTTTCAACCATTTTGAGATCAGAATGTAAAATGTTTATTGTAGCAGAGCCAGAGACATCAAAACCTTGCTGTTGAACAAGGAGAGTATTCGTGTCCACTCTGTCGTCAGCTAGCTAACTCAGTTCTTCCTATTTATCCCGACATGGGAGAGACTGTTGCAGTAGTCAGATGTCCACCGAACAACTTGTCAGCCGTAGCACAGGAACTGTCCCAACTTATGGCAACTGTCCCTACCCCTGTAAGTTGTCTATTAAGGGTAATGACAACTTTAAACACGTGACATATAAACGTACATTTACATATATCTTGCACGCTTATATTTATGACTGTAGTAGTCTTTTCTAAGTATAATTTGAACTGTTTGCATGACATAAAATGATGCAATTTTGGCCAAAGTGGAGTGTGATATGTTATAATAAAAACTGTTTGGTCAAACCTGGAAAATAACCAACTACATAATTACTAATGTCTTACAAGAATTTACACTATAGTTGTATTATTTGCTTACTCAATCAAGAGTTGGTTTATAGTACTTGAAAGTAACGACAATTTTATGTTATACTGTTAGTGACTTTGTGTCGTACCCACTTGGCCTCGATCTTTTATAGATGGGATATAGTAATTATGCACATGCACAAATGTCTGTTAGTAAAATGTATCGGCAAATTCACCGTCCACTACCACTTACAGTTTCACTTAGTTTTCTAACCCTATCAAAACAATCTATGCCCATTGTAAGAAGGTTACGTAACTCTCGTGAAATTTCCTTCCAAAAATTAAACCAGTGGATGAAGTTTGAAATTTGACAGGAACTTTCCTAAAAGGTTGTAGTTTCAGAAAAAGTAAAATATTTGATTTTAAATTTTTCTACTAAAATATCATTATTTAATGTCATTATTTGTTCCCAGGACTCTGAATAGTTCACCTGCAAGGTGATTTTCATGTTAAATATAAAAATACCATTTTTTTATCTTACAGTTTTCACATTTCATTTGCATAACCTCTAGAAAAGGTTTTATAAGATAAATGTTTATATATTATTTTTCCATTTTCTCTACCATGCCATTAACTCTAGCTAATATCAATCACGTACAGTGCAATAAAATGTTTAATATTAAGAAATGGAAATATGTACACACCTTTTAACTTTTCATTGAATAATCTTTAAATATCTTCTTTGGACTATATGTGTAATTTTATGTCTTTACCTTTTCACTTAAGTTTATTTTTAATGTTTTATTTTCCTTTCCTATTTTTTATTGTTGATTATTGATGTCGACACACATCAGTAGATGCCTGCGGGCCATATTACGTTATCGTTACCAGAGACGCTTTAGCCTTCAACAAAAAATTTCTCACACAATTAGAATTTTAAACCTTGTTGAGCAAGGCAAAGTTTTGTTATATAAATTATTAAACCTTTCAAATATGTATTTTAAAACACAAATAATACATAATTAACTAAAGTATAAAAGTAAAACCTAAATGCAATTTAACTGTGTATCAAACTAACATCTATAAGGTGAGTAAAAATAGCCAGGGATGATGATCTCCAACAAAGTACTTAGCAGTTATATGCCTTTGTAGTCAATGTTTACATTGTGTTAGATTATAGATGATATATGCAAAAGATACTGTAAAATCTGCTCTTTCTATTGGTTATAAGCATGCCTTTCAGATCTAATCTGTTGCTAAGCGACAGCCCTTTCTAATGTTGAAGTTGGCGTGACTTCTACTGTTGGGGGAGAACTTTGACAATGTCATTATTGAAACTCAGTTCTTGGAATTTGACGTAATTAGTGGTGAACATGCAGTATGCGTGTGTACTTTGATCTTCTGGGTAAAACTGAGGCACAGTAGAGTTGAAATAGAAGAAACAAAAGATATTTTAACTGTGAGCATGTCACATTGCAACAAAACTGAAGTTGTAGTTATTGTTTTAAAGGTTTCTTTTGAAATAAAGGACTAGAACTTAGATAATATAAAACTTTCAATTATAACGTACTTGTTAATTATAATCTCATTAAAATAGATAGGCAGTTTAATTAAATTTTGAATATAACTCAGTAATATGTGCAGAAAGGAATTTAAAAAATGCAAGGGTTAAAATGAAGATTGATTAGGCTTATTTTCCTTTACCAAATAACACCACCAACATGGTCTAGTGTAGTGTGTGTTGGTATCATATGAACATACAGTAAAATATAAAGTTCTGTGATATTGAATAATTATTTTCATCAGTATTAATGTTGTATTCTTTAACTATGGAGACAGTTAGGCTCCATCAGTATGACCAACCCTGTAACCACATGACTCTGAAATAGTACATATAACTGTATGTACTAATTGTATCTTCATAAAATTTTGCAAGCTTTTACTAAATATTACAAGTCTATTATATACATACAAAAAAAAAGATTTTTTAATAAAGAATTTTTACTAAAGATTTGTCTATGTATTTAGTAAGTCTTTGCTAACTCATCGCGAGTTAAAGGTGATTTTCATGCTAAGAATTAAAAATACCTATTTTCATCTTACAGTTTTTCATATTTTATTTGCATTACCTCTAGAACTTCCTAAGTGAATATGTAATGTTTTTTTTTCTGTAAAACTTTATACCTTATCTATTATTTTCTTTACCCTAACACTAACTGTAGCAATATCGTCGATGTACAGTGGATGAAAAGTTGATGCTCTTTATGTTAGTAGAATGGCTGCAGATTGTAACATACAGTTATTCATTTTAACTTATTAGGCTTCTAACCTTTTCACAACTGCTTTCATTTATTTTCATTGTGTTATTGTATTTTGAACCACGTCTATCTAGCGTAACGAAACAATAAATCACCCGGTGCGAGCTTAAAGTAAACTATCAAGATACACTTAATACGAGACATCAGTGTGCACGCATTCCTTGAAGATAAGTCGTAAGAATTTTTATTTTTCATTTTAAGTTTTCTTATCAATTGTAATTGTAAGTAATTGTTACATTTTAATTATTTTGTTGAAAAATATATAACAATAAGAAAACATACAGAAAACTAGGAATTTAACATTTGGTTTGTTATTGAGGCCTTTTGCACTAGAGTTTGGTTTAGTAAGCCTATTTTTTTCTAACAATGTTCGTTATCCAAATATAATTGATGTACTTTTCATAGATGTACGTTAGATATGTATCAGGCACTAAAAGAGAAATGTCCCAAAACTACTACAGTTTATTTGTCTTTCTGTTTAGCCTGTAAACAGTTTAAAAAATTCCATTACTGCTCATAGCAGAATTGTTTGCCTAAAAGTATCAAGTTCTTGCAAACTGTTGACTTTTACAGATAGAACAAAGCACAATCATATGAGTTATGTAGCTAAGAATAAGTTCTTTCTGTTGGTTATACACGTGTTCAATAGCAGTTTCACAGAAAATTATAAACATGTCATAAAATACAGAGTATACTGAGTGGGTTGAACAAATATAGTGATATCTCAGTAAAACAAGAATGTAAGGTGTTGACATTTTATATTCTAGCTTGTCAATATCTGTAGTATGTTCCTAATTGTTTGAACAATGTAAAACCCTTTTAAAGGAACAGAAAAAATCTATAAATGATACGTCAGATTGAAAATTTATCTAAGTATGTTCTTTTTAAATTAAAATATTAAAACTTAGATAGTATGAAAATCTGAATTTTAAAACTACGTATTGATGCCACATGAATTAATATACGTTGATTACAAAATAGTTCATTTTAATTTTGAATGTAAGTAACTCTGTACAAAGGTTGTGACACATACACTTAAACCCTCCCATGTGCATAAGGTTAAAAGTTGTGGTCAAAGAATCAAATGTCAGACAGCTGAAGTATGATGGGGGGAACTATAGACTATGATGTTACTTCTCGAGTTTAATGTGTCAGTATTTCAGTGAAGACAATTAGTTATTCAATATAACATTTATTAATAATCTTTCTTGTTTTAGAAAGAATCATAGTTAGATCACTGCTGGGCCATTGAGTAGATTACATAGTTCATAGTTCAATTCCAGCTTTATTCAAGTACTATATTCATACTGTGACAACTAGTTGTACCAGTAGAGATCAGTAGGAAAACATGTATTTGTGTTAGAAACATGAACATCTACTGTAAATGTAATAACAGTGTTATTTTTGCTTGGGATTTTTTCTTTAAAATAATGTAAATTATTACAAACCACTTGAGGTCTGGCACAAATACTAAACAATCTTAAAATTAAATATTGTATATTCCTACAACACTTGTATTTACTTTCTCATGAATAATGGTGTTACCCACCACCAACTCATGGGGTATTACAATAAAATAGTGTGATTTGAATGCTATTCTTACAATGCACGCACAGCCTCAAAGTGCTGAATGTTATTTTTTCGAAAACGGGAAGTGAACCATGAACCCTCTAATTCACAGTCCAGTATGATAACCACTAATCTCGACCAGTCTCATTTATTTTGAAGAATAATTTGTTTGAAAAAGTATCAGATCTATGTTTACATTTGCTACTCGAAAAGAACACACGTGGAAAGGTGAAGCCGGTGTTTTATTTTCAACAGCTACTTGTTGCTATTGTTGTACTTTAGTTGGGATTTTAAATATTATTATTCAGAACCTTTCTTTGCTAATAAAAACCGTCAATAAACACAAATAAGTGGTTTCATCATTGTGTTAGGGGACCGTACTACCAATACATAGTAATATTAATAAGTGGTTTCATCATTTTGTTAGGGGACTGTACTAGAAAAACATAGAAATGTCAAGTGTTGTAAATACACGTGTAGTAATGAATAAATTCAACCAGGTTTGGCGTGTTGAAAGTACACGTGTAGTGATGAATAAATTCAACCAGGTTTGCCGTGTTGAAAGTACACGTGTAGAATTGAATAAATTCAACCAAGTTTGGTGTGTTGAAAATACACGTGTAGAATTGAATAAATTCAACCAGGTTTGGTATGTTGAAAATACACGTGTAGTAATGAATAAATTCAACCAGGTTTGGTGTGTTGAAAATACACGTGTAGTAATGAATAAATTCAACCAGGTTTGGTGTGTTGA